CCATTATTTGAATGTCAGCAGACAGCAAGAAGCCTCCCAGATCTCCAGATGCATTTGAGATATCAAAAAAGTACTCCAGAGTGTTGTTCAGCATCGGGGTGAGTAGAAAATGAAGGCTAATCATGTTTTGGGTGTACTATTCCTTTAAGTGTGATGGGGTTTCATGAAGTCTACACAAAAGTTATATAACTGGGATATGAAAGAGCAAGAATTTTAGAATAAACGTCAGAAAAGTGAAACATTCCTTTGTTTTGAACTCTATTTACATTTATAATACTCTATACAATCCTATGCATATGTCAAAACAATAAAACATATTTTAGTGGAATTTAATCTACATCTTCTAAAACCTGTTACACATGGAAAAAAATGTAAATAAACATAACAGTGTCATGATCTTGGTGCTGATGACTGGCTTAATTACAAACTCCATTCACCTGTCTAACTCTCTTTCTAATCACTGCTCATCTGATCCACCTGCTCCGGCCTCTATTTAAGGCGCTTGCATCCAGTCATCAGTGCAGATTATTCTTGTTCCTTCTAGCCAGTGGTGAGAGTGTTTTTAGAGTTCCTTGGTGTTTCTGATTTCCTGATTCTGACCTGTTCTGCCTCTCAACCATTGAGCCTGCCTGTCCCTGTCTGAATGGTTTTTGTTTCCTGAACTGTCTTTGGACTCCGGGATCTCTGACTCTGCCTGTTCCTGTTCTGAGCTGTTTGCCTGACCTGGCTTCAGACTCCTGCATGTTCTTCGTGGCTGGAGCATCTGGGACACTCTGGGCGGAACTCTGGGATCCTACCTTGTTCTCTGGCTATGGACTGAACTTGTAAACCAGAGTTTCCTGCCTTATACGTCCTAGAAGCTGTTATCTAAGAACTGTTTATTTTAATAAATGCTTTTTGAGTAATCCCACTGTCTTGCCTGAATGCTGGGTCCTTCTGTTCTGAATTGTGACAAACAGACAAGTCAGGAACAGGTTTTGGGACAGTTTAAAGCAGGTTAGATTTAAAGAAATTATTCTAACATCTCAGGAACCCAGTTCAGTTGATTACATAGATATATGCTGGTGAAGAGTACAGTATTTCCTTTGTGGCCTACCCTATGATTCATGCGGGTCTAAGTTTATCGGTAAAGTGGTTTCTAATATGGTGAATGATGGTGGCAAGAACACTGATAAGAAATTGATATGACATTTTCTTTGGCCCAAAATTGACTTTTTTATGTTTTCAGGTGAAAATGTAGCTTTAGTGTAGTTTATTTCGTCTCTCCCCAGTCCCTCCACCAAAGGATTAGCTTTAATTAATTTAATTTTCCCGCTGGCTGTTACGACAGAGAAGTTGAATACAGATATAATTAAGTCAGATGATATCTAACATTTAATGTTTGGATTCTTTAAGTGTTTTTTTATGATTAAATATAAAATTTAGCTGAAATTGAAGTGATGATTCGTCTTCATCAATGCAAAGATGTATTGAGAAAAAGAAACCTTCCTCTCTGGATATATAAAGCTGATCATACTTTGAGAATATTTTTGCAAAGAAAGGTAACATGGCAGTAAAATAAATACATCTTCATGAATGTATCATAGCATGGAATATAGGGATGTCCTGTTTCTTTTTGACTAACTGGATGTGCTCTCTTTCATCCTCTGCAGTGGTGTCTAAAGTACATACATTTGTTACTTAAGTAGAAGTATAGATACTGCAGTTTAAAAACAGTCTGATAAAAGTTGAAGTATTTACTTGGCCTCTTTACTCTAGTAAAAGTGAAAAAGTATGTGCTCCAAAAACTACTTAAAGTATAAAGTAACCTTTAAAAAAAACAGCTTGATTTCACCCTATGAA